GAGAGAGAGAGAGAGAGAGAGAGAGAGAGAGATGGGGGGGGGAATGAAGGGGGAGAGAGAGAAGAGAGATATGCCCCCACAAGCTCAAAAGCTTCTGAGAGAAGAAAAACAAACTATCATTGTTTCTCATTTGTCACACTGAAAATGGCAAGACAGTGTAAAGTGTTTATAGACTTTTTTTTTTTGGTTCATCATCTAAGTTTCTTATATCAAGTCAAATAATTGGTGAGGGCAGAGAATTTTTTGGGGGGGATGGGGTGGGGTTGGAGATAAGCACATACCCTTTATGAGGAAATTAAATGAACAAGTTCATCGAGACAAAAATGAAATTAGAATGAACCACGAAGTTCCTAAATATAGTAAAGAGTGTTCATCTGAAAACAATAGCAAGTATAATTTTAAACAAACAAAAATATCAAAGCCATTTTCTCAAAAATCTAGACCCCAAGAAGATGTTCATCACTGCTACTATTGTTTTGGAAACTCCAGCCACACAATAAGAAAAAAATATCAGTAGTGTAAATAATGGAAAATAAGAGACAAAATTATCATCATTTAAATAATATGATCAAATAACTAGGTAACTAAAAAGACTCACTGAAAAATGATTAGTGCCAATAAAAGAGTTTAGTAAGATGTCAAAACAAGATAAATATGAATAAATAATGAGTAATTTATCATTATCCCAGCAGTATTTATTTACAAACAGAAAAGTATGCCACTCAGAATTGTGCAGCTATAATTTCTCTTGTTATAAAGTGATTAGAAAGGAGAAATACCTGTATGAAGACTAGAAATTCTATTGAAGGACATTATACAAGATCTATCAATAGATAGATGGAAAAGACACACTGTGCCCTTGGGTGGAAAGACTGAATATCATTAAAATGCCAGTACATAACACATTTATATGTAATTCAAAGCAATTCTCACAAATGAAAATCTTTAAAAAGAACAGTGAGATAACAAAAGAGCTACTAACATATATTACAAAGTTATGATAATCAAAGATGGTGCTGGGCTGTGGAGTAAAAAAGTAGACTAACACTCAAAGTTTAGAAACATACCCAAGAAAATAGATGAATAATACAAAACTTGCTAATACTTATTGAGTGTTTTCTATGTGCCAAATACTATTCTGTGTTTTTGTGGTTTAACCTATTTGTCTCAAAAACTCTATGCGGTAGTACTATTATTCTGCCCATTTTACAGACTGAGGAGATTGAGGCACAGAGAGATTCAACAACTTTCACAGGACATGGAATAAGTGGCTGTAAGCGGGAGCTGAGCCCAGGAACTGGCTATTGCATGTGTCACCCCAAGGCAGTAGAAAGGAATGTATTATGTAATAAATGACACCAGGGACCTTTGACCCCCTACTTCATATCACATGGCAGGTGAATTAAAGGCCTAAAGTTAGATATATAAAGACATATATATATATATATATATATATATATATATATTACACAAAGATATAGGATTATGTATGTAATGCTGGGCTGGAGAGTCTTCTTAAGCAAATCAGGAAACTGAAAAGGCATAAAGGAAAAACAGTACATATAGTTTAGAAACTAAAGAACTAAAATCTTATGCCACAAAAACATCAGAGGACATATGATATATACTACACATATACCAAAGGGATACCATGTTAATGTATAAAGAGCTCCTTTAGATTAATAATTTAAAAGAAAGCATATAAATAGCTAATTCAAAAAGGAGGAAGTGCAGAGATGCTTAACTCACCAGTGGTCAGGGGAATGAAGGTTAAAACAACAATGGGATCTCAGGGATTTTTAGATTGTTAAAAATTTAAAAGATCAGTGACACCAGGTACTGGCAAATGTATGGATAAAGTATATTTTCATAGACAATTGGTGGGACTGAAAATTACTATGAAATTTTGGGAAAGGATTTTTGTCAGGATTTCTTAAAATGAAAAGTGCCAGTCTGAGCCAGTAATGTGAGTTCTGGACACGAACCTGCCAGTAGTTAAAGCACCAGGACATCAGGGTGTTCATGCAAGGCTGTATACAGCACTGCTTGTGATACCCCAAACAAGCAAACAGATACTCAAATGGGAAATAAGATGAATGTCCATCAATGGGGGGTGGTTGAATAAGTTATGGTACATTCATATGAAGCAAGAATTTAAGGAGGAGGAAAACAATGAGGCTATTTCACACGTGAGATTGACAAGAGTGAAAATGCCTCAAGGCACAAAGTGTGTCGATGACGTGGGGATGCAGTGCCCTCAGAAACAGCTACGAGGGGTGAAAGTTGGCAGGAGCCCATTGGAAAACAATGGGCAATATCTAGAGCACTTAAGATGCAGTCTTCAACCCTGTAAGTCTACTTCTAAGAATATTCACTAGAGTAGCCCTTCCGTGAAAGTGCCAGGAAACATATGAGGAAGCTCACTACTATCTGTGTCAACTGGTTGCTCTTTACAGCAGAATGCTGAGTGAAAGAAGCAAGGCACAGAATGATTAGATTAAATGATGTAGATTAACAACCATGACACTATAAATTGCTCTGGGTGCATGCGTGTAAGTGCCACAGAGGTACGTAAGCCACAGTGAGAGAACATGGACGGTGGGTTATGAGCTTTATGAGCTGTGTGGGCTTCTCCATCTCCCTGCCTGGCTGACTGAGTGATGAGGGTCAGCTGGACTCATCAGCTTTCTGGCATACTAGAGACTAGTTTTA